GGTCCTGTGCCCCGCAGGGCCCGTGATGACATCATCCCTGGATCCCAGTCATCCTCCTGTCTTGTTTCCTTTGGTCAATGGCACCACCATCTTCGACTCACGTATCGGGAAGAGCAAGGCTGCAGAAGGCACGGGTTCCAGTGTCTGGGTTGCCAATCCCAGTGGCACATTGGGCAAGGAAGTCCCTTCCCTCCCTCTGGACTTCGGTTTCCTCCTCTGTAAAACGAGCAGGTTGGGGATGACTAGACAACCCCTGAACCTCCATTAGGTCAGAATGGCGAATTCTAGGGGTCTGTCCTTCCCCTACCCCTGCCCCTGCCCCTGCCTTCATTCAATCACCAGCCCCCAGGATCATTCCCATCCTAGGCCAGCCCTGTAATTCCTCCCAAGTATAGAATTCCAGGACTCTCTGACTCTGTCCTGAGAGCTGGCTCAGAAGTAAACACGATTTGTTTGGAGAGGTGGGCTAGCCCCAGGCCGGTCACTTACCCTTTCTCAGACAGAGATAATCCACAGCTCTCAGCTCTTGGGGTCTTCTGAGGATCCAATGAGCTACGGCACGTGTGCAAAGTGGATCCAGCCACTGTTCTTGGGGCAGACACTTCTCCCACCAACCACCCCCCCAATAGAAGAAAGCACCTCAGCTGATCCTTGTGCAGAGGTGGGGACTGTGGGTACGGAACACTGCATATAATGCCAGGCTTTTTCAATAGTCTAGCTTTATTGAACTTTTTGCCCCTTTTTTCCTTCTTTGTTATATATGGCTCTCTGGGAGGGACATATTAGGAAAAATAGGTTATGTAAAAACAAAGGATTTTGATAAAATTTTATTTTTTAAAAAAGTACTCCAAGCCAACATATCCCTCTCCCTCCCTTAACGGTCCCCTGTGTTCTCAGCATACTCCAGGCCCCTCATGCAGTTGCCCAGCGCCGGGCCCAAAAGCTTGCCCGGGGAAGCACTGCTAAGAATAATAATAACCCAAGGAAAAATCGTGGAACAGATGGCTGAGTCACGCAGGTTTGTTTGTGGAAATTAATGGGTCTGTAACAGCAAACACAAGAAAGGGTCATTGCGGCCAGAAATTACAGCAATACTTCAGAAGCCTGAATTTGGTGATGGATGCCAACTTTTCAAGGAAACCTTAGAAGCGGTGTAACAGCACCACAGAGTGCAACAATTTAGGACCTACTGAATATAAGGCACACTCAGGCAGCCAGAATGACACATCAGAAGCTTGTCATCCTTCACAAACATTTAACGGATGACAAACCCCTATATTCCCAGTACAGGCTCTCAAATAGCCTAAGTAATTCAGCCAATAAAAAGGAGCATCACAACAGGCAAAATGATTGCTTCCCATTACCTGGATACATAGTGGTGACGCTTAACATTTTTATCTACTGTCTCTGTACCAACTACTCCTCCATTGCCTACAGTGGGGAATAGAAAGCTACAGAACAGCATGGGAAGAGGCAGAGCTTTAAGCCATCCCCAGTATCCAGTTTGCCCCCACATATGCCCTCCATGAGCCCACCGAGAATAATAATACACCCCAATCCCTTCCTTCAATGACAAAGGACAGTCATTGGCTCCATGGTGAAACAGTTCACACGATACATCAAATAGAAACGGCCAAGAGTAGGAGAAAGACTTGTCTCCTGCCTGTTTCTATCTGAATTCCATGAATGCAAGATGAGAACAAGAATAACAAAGATGGTAGTCATAAGCATTATCCTCATGCTCTTCTCATTTCTCTGGTGCTTTGAGCATTTAGACAGTGCCTTTGGAGGGCGGCAGCGCAAGGAGAAGAGAGCAGACAGTTATACGGGATTTTCCACCCTTTGCCTCATTGGCTCCCCCATAACAACCATGTGAGAGACAGACCACCCAAAATAATAATCACCTAGCCTTTAGAGAGCACTAGGTTTGCAAGGCACAACCACCGTGGGAGGAAGGTATTATTATTACCCTCTTTTTGCAGTTGAGGAAACTAAGCCTGAAAAGCAAAAAAAGCCCATGGCCACAGGTCTAGTTAACATCAGAGCTGGGATTTGAAGGCATTCTCTCTGACTCTGGGGAGGCTAGGTGGTGCAGTGGATAGAGTATTGGCCCTGGAGTCAAGAAGACCTGAGTTCAAATCTGACCTCAGACACTTCCTGTGTGACCCTAGGCAAGTCACCCTTGTTTGCCTCAGTTTTCTCATCTGTAAAATGAGCTGGAGAAAGAAATGGCAAACTGCTCTAGGATCTCTGCCAAGAAAATCCCAACTGGGGTCATGGAGAGTCAGACAGGACTAAACAACTCCCTGACTCTGAGCCCTGAAGAGGATCAGCTACACTGGGCAGTCTCCTCTTTCTAAGACACCCATTGAGCATTTGTGCTGGCCACCCATTAACTCACATTCTCAGTACATAGTTCACCATTTTTCCTGTTTTATGTATTTTTGATGTTGTCTTTATATGTCACTGCTGAAGAAAAAACATTCATACCTGTGACTTGGGTTCAAGACTGCCAGAAGCAATTTAATTTATCTTTAATCTATATCTGAGCTATTTCTAGCTTTCAGGAAGGAGAGAAGAGAGAGACAGAGACAGAGACAGAAAGAGAGAGAGAAGAAAAGAAGAGGAGAAGAGAGAAAAAGGGAGAAGGGGAAAGAGAGAGGAGGGGAGGGGAAGGAAGATCCAAACTGGCCTTCCAATATGGTTTCCATTGGTATCTTCATTCTTTTTCATCTGGGAAGGGTGGGTCCTAACTTGTTACTGCAGACCAGTGGGGAGGTAATGATGTGAAGAAGACAAGTGTTGAATTTGGTCATCACCCTTAATACATTCCCCTAATGAAGAGCGTTTTTTTCCCTTGGCCCTGATTTATATCAACCACCGTTCCTAGGGACTTTCCAAGAGTCTAGAAAGGGCTTTAGAGGAAACGGGTTTCATAATATTTTCAGTATTGTTTTTTGTTAATGTTGAAGCCCCACTGAGCCAAAGTGCAATCAATGGGAGGATGTGCAATGAGTATAACCGGGTGGCAGCCCACCCCTGCGGGACAGACTATAAGCTCCCTGAGGGCAGGGACCATCTATGGAACTCTTGTGTTCGGATTGCGGCTCCCCGCACAAGTACTGTTCTCATTAAGTCCTTGCAATAAGTGGGTGACTGATTATGCCCATTTTACTGAAAAGGAAACTGTGGTCCAGTTTAGAGAAGTGACTTGCTCCCAGTCTGAAGACTCACAAATTGAGTAAGACTTCCAGTCCAGGGCTCCCTGGCGTAGCGAAAACAGAAGTGAGTTTGTTTTCAAAGGCCCCCGTTTGCGCCCAGCGGAGGAGGGTAGCCCACAAAGTCAAATACTACCTAAAGGGAAGGATGCTGGGATCTGAGAAGAGGCCATCAGATTTAGAAGTGAGGAGATCGTGTCCTTAGAGAGAGACGTTCCAGTGGAGGGATGAGGTCCGAAGCCAGATCACCAGGGGTGGAGAAGTGAGGGGTGAAGAAACGGAGGGCAGCGCAAGGCAGATGATTCTCTCCGGAGGTGGCAAGCATAGAGCGGAAAGACAGAGGAAGATAATTTGAGGGGAAGCCAGGAACCAAGGAGCCAGGCATGTTTATAGAGCTTGGGGAAGGAGAAATGGAAGCTGAGAAAGGGAGGGAACGATCCCAGAGGAGAAAGGCTGAGCTGTATTTTCATCAGACAGGAGCAAAGGAGGAGAGGAGATCTGGGGGAGCCCCTCAGAGAGAGTGGTCAAGGGAAAACCCGGGGAGGTGGGGAGCAAAGCCTCACCAAGGGGCAGGGGCCCTCCTCCCCTCAGCTGGGGGCTTTCGCAGAGATGTGGGGGGAGGGAGGAGTGGACCCTCCCCCCCCATACACTTATTGAATTGCATTTTACAGGAACATGGAGTGAGCACAGGGACGGACCCCCTGCCAAGAACCCCAGATCTAAAATCAGCAAGACATCTGGGAGACTCAATTTCCGCCACCCCGTAATAGGAAGTCTTGACCCCCAAGCTTCCTTCCCTCCCATCCCCACCCCCAGCCCCAGAGCCAATTCCCGGCCTGCATAAACAACTGCACGTGGTCGCACGTCCCGCCCCCTGGCAGGGGGCGTGGCCTGCAGGAAAGGAGTGAGGGTTTCCACCTCCCCTTTGAGAAGCCCCAGAGACCGGGCTGGGCCTAGGGTCAGTGGCCGGTATGGGCCGAAAGCCTGAGGGGGCTGAGGACGGGGCAGTGGCGTGGGCGGGGAAAGGGCCAGCGACGTCCGAACACCTTCAGAGGACCGGAGGGCTGGCCTTGTTCTCTCGGGGGCGGAGCTTCCTCTTCCTCACGCGGCTCAGCGGGGAGCGGGGTGGAGGGGGCGGGGCCTCAGTCTGGAAATGGGCGGGACCTTCCCTCTCCCAGCACGGCTCACAGGCTCATCTCGCCCGGGGGCGGGACCTCACTCTGGAGCTGGGCGGGGCTCACCTCCCCCATTCCCAATTGGCTCACTGGCTGGTCTCCGCCGGGGGCGGAGCCTCGTCCCCAGGGGCGGAGCCGGTGGCCACATAAAGGGCGGCGGCCCGGCCAGCGCCCCAGCAACGCCTTGCGCGGCGATATGTCCTTGAGGTCCCTCGTGCCCGCGCTGCTGCGCGCGACTGCCCCTCGGCTTGGCCCGGCCCCGCTCTCCTCGGTGGCGGCCGCGGCCCCCCGCGAGCGGCCCCCCGAGCCTCCTACGGGTCCCGACCCCCAGCCTGGATCCGGGCCGCCCCGGCACGCACCCGCGCCCGTGCCCGTGCCCCCCGTGGACTTCAGCAACACGACGACGGCGTACCAGAGCCGCACCAGCTGGGAGCTGCTCCGCAACCTGCTCGTGCTCCGTGTGTGCGCCTGGGAGCCGCTGCTTAAGAGACACCAGCAGGTGCGTGCGCCCGGCGCCGGGCCAGTGCGCCTGCGCGCGGGGAGGAGGGGCGTGCACGGGGGCGGGGCCTCTGCGTGACGTCGGAGTGGGCGGGGCCCCGAAGAGGGCGTCAGCTTCTAGGAAGTAGCTGCTGTGTGCCAGGCTCTATGCTGAGCACTCAGGGTGGGAGAAACCCCACCCCCCAAAAATCTCTGCCCTCAAGGAGCTTACAGTCTAGTGTGGGAGATGAGCATGCAAAGCACCGTGGATGCGTGTGCCCGCGGACGAGGTGGGAACAGGAGCGATTGGGGGGTGCAGGCACTGAGATTGAGGGGGGTCAGGGGAAAGACAAGAGGGTCAGCTTGGGCCACGACGAGTGTGAGCTGTGGGGAGCGCCGGACACGTCCAGGGACAGGAGGTGGTGGTGCTGGAGTGGACAGCTCAGGAGCGAGGTGACCATGGAGGGAGGCACCTCCGAGGGGCACCCAGGAGAAGGTGGGGTGGGGGGAGGTGTCAGAGGGATGGAGGAGGAGGGGGAGCCCTTTTGGAACAGCTTCACTTAGGGTGAAGGGTGGGGCTTAATACATGGCGGGGTGCACATAGTAGGTGCTTAATACATGCTGGGGCACACATAGTAGGTGCTTGCTACGTGCTTACGGACTGAGATGGAGAGAGCTCACCCGGGAGGAAGGGGAGGCCTGGTGATGGCCAGGAAGGCAGGCAGATAGATGATCCCTAGACTTTACCTTTCACTGGCAGATCAGGAGAAGGGCTTGGGGATCCCTGGCTTGGCACATCCTTTGGTGGCATGGCCAGAGAAGAAGCTACTCAAGGGCAGGGTCGTTTGCTTTGTGAGTGGTGTCGTTGGTGCCCACCGTTGTGCCTCCAGGCACTCGTGGGCAGTCAGGAGGAGATGCTTGTAGACGGACCGGGGTGGTTGGGTTCTCTCCACCTCTTCCTCTCTTCTGGGAGCCTGGCCCTCAGATAGAGGAGATGGCTGCCCTGTGTGCCCAAGTACCATACACCTGTGCTACAGTGGGAAATGGGCTGAGTTTGGAGTCACAGGACCTGAGTTCAAATCCTGGCTCAGCCACTTTCTGTGACTTTGGCCAGTTGCTTAATCTCTCTGTGCCTCAATTTCCTCCTCTGTAAAATGAGGATTTGGACTAGATAACCTTTAAAGTTTAATAAGTTTAATCCAATTCTGGACGTGTGGTTTTCTTGACCCTGTGACCTCCTGATGTCACACTAGTCCAGGAGAAAAGGCTTAGACTTTGGGGGGGGGGGATGCCTCCCCTTGTCATAGAAGGGAAGAGACTCCTGGGGGTCCCCTGAATTCAGGATGAAGATGCTCAAAGCTGTGGGTGTCCATCCATGTAGAAGTGAGGGGGAGGGGAGGAGGAGATTTGAATGGGCACGGCTAGTGTCAAAGGCTGGGTGGAGGGCAAACAGATGTGGGAGACACCCGGGCCTAAGAGGTCGCCTCCCTGTGCTCTGGGAGAAATTGCTTTCTATGTTAATATTCAGATGGGGAGCCAGGCCCCTTCCACGGGCAGACTCGGTGAGTCACTGAATCAGATTGTCCCAGGACAGGGGCGAGGTCCTAGGCTCCCACCTGTCCTCCAGGGAAGGTTCATCTCCCTGAGGGGGCTGATGGGGGGTGTGGCCATAACTCTGCTATTTCTTTGGCACATTGCATGTTGCTCTGTTTTCTGCGTTGCCTAGAGAAAAAACCTCGAAGCCTACGCAGGTCTAAGGGAGAAGAGAGATTTTCCCACAAGCTAGGAGAGATGAGGGAGGAGAGAGCATTCTTACTACCCAGGGACCAGGACGCAGGGGCTGCCACAGCAGCAGAAAGCCAGGAGCCACGTGTGGAGTTAGGAACAGCCAGGGACCTGAGTCCCTTCCCACGTGTGAGATTGGTCTGGCTTTACAGATGAGGCATCTGAGGTAGAGAGAGGCCAGACTCACTCCAGAAGATCAGTCTCTAGAAGGCAGATGAACCCAGAAGACTCAGCATGCAAGGGGAGAAAAGAGATGTGTTTGTTCTAAAGGATGGATCTCTCGCAGCCTCCCCGGGGATGGAGGACAATCTAGAGAAGAGGGGCTGCCAGGGGCAGAAGTGAGGGCCATCCTGGAAAGGTGTATTTGAGGCCAGCTCTGCCGGAACTCTGGTCTGCAGAGGGACCACCTCCCTTCCCCAAAGGCAGCTGAGCTCGGAGTCAGGAAGATCCAAGTTCAAATTTGTCCTGGGCCTTAGTAGCAGTGTGTGACCTTAGACAAATGTCTTCCCTTCTGTCTGCCTCAGTTTTGTCATCTGTGAAATGGGAATGATAATGGTACCTAGGATTAAGTGAGATAATATTTATAAGGAGCTCAGCACAATACCCTGGAACATAGTAGGTACCTAATAAATGCTTAGTCCCTCCCCATTCCAGTCCTCTTTGTGTCTCTGGGTGTCACAGACCCCTGGAGAGAGCTGCAGTCAGACGACCTAGGTTCAAACTCTAAAGTATTTGGAGACTTAGTACTTACTGGTGCCAAGCATTATACTACATGCCAGGGATGGAAAGAAGGGGGGACAGGACAGTCCTTGGCCTCAAAGGGGAGAGACGCTTCATCTTCAGGACACAATGGTGAGGCCCAGGGGCCCTTGGGCAGATCCGTCACTCCCTGTGTGACCCTGAGCTTCAGTGTCCTTCTCCGTACAATGGGGGGAGGGCAGCGTTTGGACTCCATGACCTCTGCTGGTTTAGCCCTTCCCCCTCTGGGTCCAGGACCCTCTGATTCCCGCAGGTCCCTACAGCAAGAATTAGAGGAAGGACCAAGGACATTTAGCCCGGAGGAGTCCAGAAGAGGCGGACAGCTACATGTCAGTCACACCCGGGAGGCTTTCTTTAATGGGGAAACAGGTCAGGGCAGTCAGTCTGGCAGAAGTGGGTGGTGGTGTTTGCAAAATGTCGGCAGCCCCAGGCTCATGTCAGGAGAAATTTCAGTGCTGTGAGCGCTGTCCCAGAGCCCAGTGGGCAGCCCCCCTCCACCACCTCACCCCCAGCACCTTTACGCAGAGGCCAAGTGACCACCTATTTGTGCGTCAGGCTGGAAAAGAGATTACTGGTCCCCAAGCTCCCTTGAAGGGCAGCAATTCTTATTTCTGCAGCCTCCGAAGACATCTCACGTCCAAAAGGCAAACTTCAGATCTCTCCAAACCCTGTTAGGTATACAGGAAGCTGTGTCCTGCGCCCGCTGAAAGAATTTCCCACCTTCATTACATTCAGAGGATTCTCTCCCACCACGAATCCTCTTCTGTTTGAGAAGGATTTCGTTCCAGCTAAAGAATTTCCCACATTCATTACATCCAAAAGGTTTGCTCGCCAGAATAAATTTTCTCCCGTGTGGAGTAAAGTGAGACTCGTGGCTGCAAACGAGCAGGCCTGGTCCTTCCTCCATGGCAGCTGAAGACAGTGATGATCGCACAGGTCCCCTCAGCCTGCTCTCCTCGGAGAGGGGCATCCCTCCTGCCTTTCATCTGTACCCATTGGGATGACCGGCCTGGTCACCCTCCTCAAAAAATAGTCCAGCTCCTCAGTGTCCATGGCTGTCCTGCTGAGGTCAGACACCAAGAGATCCAAAGGCCCCACTGACCCTTGTGCCCATTCCTCTTTGGTCTCGCAGTTAGTGGGAAAGGTTGTCCAGCCCTTGGGGGTTAAGAAGAGCAAGGAGCTTTTGGGGGGACCCCTACACACACACACACACACACACACACACACACACACACACACACACA